GGTTACAGAATTCATCCACACTGTCTGTCTCTCTCTCTCTTTCTCTCTCTCTCTCTCTCTCACAAAAGTGTTATTTGGGAGTGTCTAGTCTTCCCTCTGATTAAAAACATTTTTTTTGTTTGCACTACCTGGAACACATTTTCAGAAGGTCCTCACTCTAGCCTCTAAGGCTCCTATAATTGGATCCATACATGGAGCCTAATGAAGTTCTTCATGGGCACAGGCATCCACTAGCACAAATCCAAATGCAGGATTAGGGCTTAATTTGTGCACACAAATGTAACTGAACATGTGAATCAACTATCTGTACATATGACTGGCATGTGTAAATCCAGGACTTTGCACACATGGTGCTGTAAACAAAACTTAGAAGGCTGGTTTTGAAAATATGACTAAGTTTTATGGCAAGAAATCCATATGTCTAGTCAGTTACACGTTTGGTTTAGGTTTTCAAGTGGGGGAACAAAAATCCATGAATCTACTGAAACCCTCCATATCAGAACATCACTGAACAAGGAAAAACAAAATTAGGGTTTTTTCTTTTTAAAATACCATAGAATAAAGCAATGGTTTCCCACAGCTGCCTCTCTAGCCAATGCCACCTGTAGATTCTAATACTTTTCTCCCAAATGATTTTTTTAGTGTAATAAAACACTATTTTAACTGGCTTTGAGTCCTTAATGAAGTCTAGGAGGTGGTGTCATCTTCACTTGTATTAAACTTGTTGGGGAAATTTTGCTTTCACTCTTCTGGCATTGTAACTTTTTATGGATGCTGTCTGACTATTAAGACGTATGTCTGCAGTGCTGTTGTACTCATGTTGGTCCCAAGGTAGTAGAAACGACAAGGTGGTTGAGGTAATCCTTATAGGACCAAGTTCTGTGGGTGAAAGAGACAAGCTGTGGCGCTTAGCCCGAGCTCTTGTTCAGGTTTTTGAAGCTTGTCTCTTTCATCAACAGAAGTTGGTCCAGTAAAAGATATTACCTCACCCACCTTGCTTCTATTAAAGATTTATAGCTTATTAAATTCTCTGAAAACTGACGAAGTGACTTAAGCAGAAAGCCAGTCTCATTTTAATTTAAAAGTTAGCTTTGAAAAAATACTTAAAAATACATTATGGTTTTCCCACCCACCCCCCCAAAATATCCTGAAATTATTTTACTCAATTCTACACAGTTTTGTATTCTAACATTGATTTACCATAAATTCATTGCAAAATTCATATTCAATATTGTTATGGTTTATGTCTGGAATGAAGTTCTTATAACTCTTGAGAATACTGCGACTTCTATGGCCACAAACTTCTTTTGCTAGCAAGTTTAACTGATAAGGTATGATAGTAATAATAATAAAACCTCATTAAATAAGTATTTTCTTATGCTAATAGGCAAAGGACTCTACAATTGCACTCTTGTTGGTTTTACAGAATTATCCATCCTCTAGTGCATGTTCTAAACCAGGAGTAATCAATAGGTGGACCGCGGGCCAAATCTGGACCACCAAACGCTTTTGAACAGACACCAAAATATTTTTATTTTCTTATTGTCATTATTGGGGCGGGGGGGGGGTATTATTATTTCCTCTGAGTCTGGACCTTGACTATATCTTGATTAGGAAATGTGGACCTTGACAAAAAATAATAGACTATCTCTGTTCTAACCTATAATATTAAAACTATACAGACGTGTTGGATCCAAATAATTCCCAGCATGCTTTCTGAAGGAGTTTTATAAAAAAAGGTTGTTCTAGGAAGTCACTGATTTTCAGACTGACTGTATAACAAAACTCAGCTAATTTATATTTCTTTTGTAAAATTAATAGGGGCAATCACCTCTGTAGAGAAATGGAATCTCAAAGGTGGGGTTGAAAATAAACAGAACAGTTCTTTAATGTAAGAGATAAAATAAACAAAATTTAGGGTTTTTTGTTTAGGGTTTTTAAGGAAACAATTAGGCTACTGCAAAAAGAAAAAATACTAATACAGGCAAATGCGTTAGGTAAAATAGCATAAAGGTGACCCACACCTGTCTTTCTTTCAATTAAAAAAATAGTTTAACACATTGTACTTTGTACAAATAGTTTTATACATTAAAACTTGAAAATAATTATCTCATGCTGCACGGAATTATTTTCATAATTAGGTGAATATACTCCATAGGCATTATATAAAAAATGTAACATTGCATACGCTATTTTAGTACAACATACAAAAGGAAACCTGCTTGGATACTACTACACATTAATCAAAGCACAACAAGATGTTAGTCAAGCCCAGGGAGCTCCTTGCAATGAAGGGAGCTCACCTCTTCTTCCCTTCCAGATGATTTCAGAGCTGAATCAGCTAGTGTCTGGACAAGTATTCTGTTAATTTTATAAAGGAAAATGCCTCTTAGCTGGCAGAGCCAAAGGGTTAAATGACTCTGGGATCAAACGCTGCAGCATTTCTGGTCCCTGTCCCTGCAGCCCGCGGGCGACAGAGTCCCCAATAAATCTGACCTAGTTCCTACTGCAGCAGGCGGCTCACTGGCATGCCGGGGCTGCTGCGAGCTGCTCGCCGGCGGCCGGGCCGGGGTGGCCGGACACTCACCGGGTGGAGGTGCCCTTCCTCACATCGCACATCATGCACTTGAAGGCCTCGGCGCTGTTCCGGAAGGTGCACACGCTGCAGTCCCAGTAGCCCTCGTCCGAGGAGGGTTTCGGCTGCCGCTTCGGCCTGCAACACACACAACGAGGGGAGGGACAAAACAGGCAGGGCGGTGGGTCAGGCCCGGCTCTCAGCCCGGCCCGACCGCCCCCGCTGCAGCCCGGCTCCCACGGCCGCCATGGCCGCTGCACGGCGGAGCCGGCTCTCCGCCGCCGCCGCTGCTCCCGGCGCAGGGTCGGGCCCGGCCAGGAGGCGCCGCTAATCCAGGGCGCGGGCGCTGCCGGCGCCAGGCCCCCGCGCCGCCCTTACCTGGTCGGGCTCTTCTTGTCTCCCATGCCGGCTGCAGACGCGACCCCGGCCCGGCCCTTTGTGTGTTTGTAAATAAGGAGGAGCGCGGGGGGCCCTGGCTCGAGCGGGGAGGAGGAGCCGCCGCCGCAACCTCCAGCTGTCGGGGAAACTCCGGCTCCCGCTGCCGCCCGCCGCCCCTCCTCCCTCACGTGTCCCCCCGCCGCCAACCAGCGGCCGCCCGCAGCCCTCCGAGCCCCAGGCAGCGCGAGGCGGCAGGTTCGCATCTGCTGGCGGCGCCGGGCGGCCGGAGGGGCGCGGGGACGCGGCTGCGGTGAGCAGGCGGCAGCCAGGGGAGGCGGACGGAGAGCTGAGGCGACTAGGGCAGCCCGGGCCCCTCACCCCACACAGCGCTGGCTGTCGGGGTCGCCCTTTCACGGCCAGCGCCCGGGAGGCAGGTGGCAGGGAGATGGAAACTCGTGCGTGTGCTGGGCCAGCAAACCCCCCCCCCCAGTGTGGGTTGGGGTCCCCGCCGCGCGTGGATTGACGGGGTTGGGGTCCCCCGGGCCATTGTGTTGTCTCCTGCGCCTGTAACAGCTTGCCTAACAGCACATGGCAAGCAAGCTGCCAGGCGGGCTGAGAGACAGATCCCCTCTCCAGCGATGACATATGTATTTCATATAGGCCATGCGTGTTTTGATGCATTACAGATGCAGAGTGCATGGGCTGAAATACATGACAGAACCATTTTCCTATTACATGTAAATCAATGTCATCTCACGTAGGACGATATGTAAATTACACACAATGCAATATTGCACCCAATCCTCGTAAAGCCAGGACTGATCCAGAAAACCTATACCTTTCATCTCTTCTGTGAGCCAGAGACCTGGCCTCATTTATCAACTCCAGACTGTATAATCATAATTCCCTGAATATAAATATGAACAATAGTAAGTAAGGTTGCAGGTAGTACAGACTAAGACAGCCCACTTTCTCCACAGGTTAGGCCACATCAGCACTGGCTCTTGGTCCATTTTCACTGCCAGTTCAAGGCCTTGGGCATTTTCTTCAGAGCCATTAATGGATCTGGTCCTAATTATGTTGCCAACCCTCCAGGATTGTTCTGGAGTCTCCAGGACTTAAAGATCAATTTTTAATTAAAGATTATGTCATGTGATGAAGCCTCCAGGAATATGTCCAGCCAAACACTAGGCAACCCTAGGTCCTAAGTACATGAGAGACTACATTTCCATCTATGAACTACCAATATAGCTGCATTCCACTGACACAATGCTGATCAAAGCTCAGGACAAAACACTATGCGAGCCAGAGTTAAGGCGTTATCCGTTAAGGAGATCTGGCTGTGGAACAAAATTCCAGAAGAGAGTAATCTAAACTAGAATCTGACCACTTTAGAGCATGCTGTAAGACCTCCCCTCTTTGATAAAACTTTCATATTATCACAGAGTAACATTTACCACAATAATTAGACCCCCTTGCCCAAGAAAAAAAAATGTATCCCAGGCACTGCTGCCTATAACCAGGGTCAGGAGAAGAGCAGAAGACTCCATGAAGTTCCATTGGGTACCTTGCTATGCCAGACACTGGTACTAGTGTGACAGATGCAGGTACAAACTCATAAGATAATAGATCTTATCCAGCATTAGATACAAGGATACAAATAATATTAATATTTGTACTTATAGATTAAGTACAAATAAATTGTGATTAACATGGTATGCTCTAACATCATTAAACAAAACACTAAGAATGTTCTTCCTTGGCCTGAAAGTTGCCGAAAAGACTTAGCTAGGAATAGTGGGGTATAATAAAGAAAAGGAAAATGTAGGCTGAAAATCTAGAAGAATCTACTAATAGTGAGCTATATTATACTAAAAGGTTGTCTCCCCATTTCTTGGGGCATTCAGCATTTACCTAAAAGCACCACAGCCCCTCTCTCTGGACCTTGCCATCTATGGTTGTAGCAGACTACTTGTTACAATATGAAGAATGAATATTGTTTTCTGTCTGATGATCACTGCCCTCCATGCTCCTCTCCCCATCCTCACTTCTTCCTCTCCCTCAATGTCTACTTCTTCCTTTTCCCTGCCGCTCCCAGAGCCTGGTCTGCAATAGGGATGGAACCCAGAGATGCACTGCTAAGCTGGACACTTGGATACTGTGAAGAAATCTTTAGATTGGAAATGATGGTAGAACCTGTCTCCTGGTGCCCTTTTATTTATAACAGTCTCTACTGTATACGTAACTTTTTTTCCCCTTTTGAGAAAGCAATTATTTTGAAATAACCCCTTTTTCTTGACCTCTTCTCTGACATTATGAATTTTCCCATAGAAATGAAAAGAAACGAAATAAAACTCAGACCACTACCTATGAAACACTATGATAGGTTGCAACATAGTAAAAAGCAGCTTAAGAGTAGCAGCTTTTCTCTTTCCTCTAAGGGAAAATTTCCTGGGGAGTATCATTTCTGATCAGCAGGGAGAGAAACCACTGCTAATCCCCAACTATCATTCCTAACTGCCCACTAATCTTTCAGATTCCACCATTCTAACCCTGCTCGAGATGCGTGAAATTTACCCACATGCAGAGGGGTAACAAGACCTGTTCACCACTCAAGTTCCATTCCAGCCTTATTTTAAGCGGTCAAGTGAATTTCATCCTATGTGAATAACATTACAGAGAGAAGAAATATTATTTTCTGCATACTTTGGTACACTTATAGAGGCACAGGAAATCACCAATGACATGTGCCTACCTTTGATGTAACCACATCTAAAATATTGTTGGTCTGTGACACAGGACAGAGTGACTTTTGAAAGATGGATTCGTGCTCCAGGCAGTAGCGCTCAGCAGCATTCTTCAACCTAGGAGGCAGGAAGAAGAAGAAACTTGCTCAGAGAGAGCAAGCTTCAGGTAAATCCTGAATTTGGGACAGTAATAGATGTGACGGGTTGGATTACAGAAACCCCCTTGGGGCTGCCACTATGACATATGTCCAGTTATGTCCAGTTATGACATAACTGGAAAACATATTCCAGTTATGTCATAGCCTTACTAAGACTACCCCTGAGCCCGCCTTTTTTGCCAGGTTGTGGGTTTAGTGCCCTGCCAGCTTTGAGCCAACCCCGCTAGCCTGCTACAAACCCAGACCCAAGTTTGAACCACGTTTCCCAAAAGCTACATGTTTAACTGAAAACAGCTTAAGAAGGGTTTTTGTTTGTAACACTCAGATGCCCAGCTTTTAATGGGGTCCAAACCACAAATAAATCCTTTGTACCCTGTATAAAGTGTTTGCCCTCTAGAACACAGAGAGATATGCACAGCTGTTTGCCCCCCCCCAGGTATTAATACATACTCTGGGTTAATAGAGAAGTAAAAAGTGATTTTATTAAATACAAAAAGTAGGATTTAAGTGGTTCCAAGTGATAACAGACAGAACAAAGTGAACTACCAAGCAAAATAAAATAAAGCATGCAAGTCTATGCCTAATACAGTAAGAACCTGAATACAGATAAAATCTCACCCTCAGAGATGTTCCAATAAGCCTCTTTTACAGACTAGCCTTCTTCTAGTCTGGGTCCAGCTATCACTCACACCCCCTGTAGTTACTGTCCTTTGTCCCAGTTTCTTTCAGGTATCCTTTGGGGGTGGATAGGCTCTCTCTTGAGCCAGCTGAAAACAAAATGGAGGGGTTTAAATAGACTCTGTCTTGTGGGTGGACACCTCTCCCTCCCCCTGTGTAGAATCCCAGCTACAAGATGGAGTTTTGGCGTCACATGGGCAAGTCACATGTCCATGCATGACTCAGAACTTACAGGTAGCAGCCATGGCTAACACGCTACCTTGAACGTCCTCAAGTAGAATTCTTATGTGGATTGGAGCCTTCCAAGATCCATTGTCCATAAGGTGTTTCTTGATTGGGCACTTAACTTTCAAATTCCTTTCTAAAGAACCTGCCCAAATGCCTTACTAAGGCTACTAAAAATCAAACCAATACACAGCCAATATTCATAACTTTGAATACAAAAATGATATATGCATACAAATAGGATGAATAGATTCAGCAGACCATAACCTTTACAGAGATATGTTACATGGCATATGTAGCATAAAACATATTCCAGTTATGTCATCTATACATTCATAAGCATGTTTCCATAAAGCCTTATGGGATGCAACATCACACCCTTCTCCTGAACTTACTGCCAGAGACTTGAACACTGTCCACGGCAGAGGCAGTACATATAAAATCCCTGTTTGTCTTTGGTCACACTCCATATGGTTTAAAGGTACGGAAAGGATGTCATTCATAAGCGTACCAACAAGTTTTGGGGTTTCAGGCACCTGGGGACCAGGAAACAGGTTGGGGTGTAATATTGCTAAACAGAATGCAGACAGCAATATTTGTTAAAGTGTAGGCCTACTGGCATTTAGCCACCAATGCCATGAGGCAGTGTGCCTCAGTTTTCCCTTCTACACAGCAGCATATGCCTGTTATGCTTTTGCTGCTGTGCCAAGCTTCCAGTCTGTTTACAGGTATAAGCTGAAAGGTAACATGCTTGTGGGACTGTCTTGTCACCATCCCTAGCATGTACAACAGGTTTTTTTCCACAAATCAGGTATGTTCCACATCTTTAAAGGGTTTACGACTAGTATTAACTCCTTTGACATGACCCATAGATTAAGTAGCAAAAGACACAAGATTAACAACAAATCTACAGCGGACAGGCTCTGTTCGCACATTTTGGCTTGGTTAGTGTCTATTACCTTTTTCACTTCCTTTGCGTACCATGATAGGTGCCCTGATGCAGATTCTTCTGCCTCTTTGGAGAAGGCTTTTAATTCCGGCATGTGTTTAAGTCTTTGGCAAGGAAAGGGTGTACTACAACCATGCCTGCCCTCGGCCCCTCCCTCTGGAATTTCTCTGAGCTGGACCTCACACACTTGTGAAGTTTCCCTAAGGCAAAGGTTTTCTTCCTCCTGCCTTGAAGAGACAGTTTTTATCTCTTACAAGCTTAGCAGGAACATCTTTCAATGGAGTGCTTTGGATTGGTAGGACCCCTTTGGACATCCCACTTTCTGTCCCCAAAAGGTTAGCTGTGGGGGCTCTCCCCTCCAGGAGATCGGACCCCCCGTTTTCCCTTAAACCCTGATCCACAGGAGATTTTTCACCCTCCTCCTGGGAAAGATCCTCCTTACA